AACTTTAAATACGACACCTTTCATTGTTATATTAATTATAATCAAACTGATTAGACAATTGCGAGCAAAAAATCAATAATATGATAACAGATGTAAGCTAAGAACTAAAAATTTATGCTGCTAGTGAACGCTAACAAAGTGTATTAAAATTTTTATTGTTGGTCAAATCGTCAGAATACTTAGTAATATTAGTGTTTGAAGTAAAATTTTTTTTTATTTTTTATTTTTTATTAGAAATTACGACGTTAAGCATAAAACAACATTTTAAATGTGTTTAGCTAACCTCCCTTTACTGTCCCTTGCTTCGTTCTTCCTCTGATATGGCTTCTCTTCTCTATTTCCCTAAATTATAAGACCCAGGCCAGAAAGGGCGCACGGACGCATAGCTATTGCTATCGTATGTAACAATACTAAAACATCGAAATAGTAATGGTATGCATCCAATCAAGGCAAGCACAAAAAGTTCCACGAGAATAATGCTGATTGTGATGACATGCCCCACTAGATGTGACGATAATCGTTATAGCGTTCAACCTTTTAAACTTTTTTGTATTGACTATCGTAGTCCATAAGGTAAATGTTTTAATGCTTGGCTATCTTAGTATGCCATTTTCTAAAGTAGTCCATAAATATTGAAAAAATGTAAAATTTCAAGCTTTAATGGGTGTTTTTGATAGTTATGACACCATTCCAAGCTGTATCCAGAAGAAATTATTTTTTGTAAACACAGGGAAAAAGTTTTTCTTAACTCTTTGAGTTGGTCAAATGTCTCATTTCTTGGCCACTGTAAAACAGGGACATTATACTAACAACGAAACTAAACTGTAATATTTAATGTAACGTTAAAATTACATGAAAAATATCAAATTTTAATAATTAAAAACAGTAGTCGTAAGTTTTTTTTTCCTTGATACGTTACGAAATGTGTTGTTATAAATGTTTAAGGTGTTTTAAAAATTTGTAGTGTTGATGATATTTTTAGTGTATCAGTGCATAAATTTGTTGAATTATTTGAAAGTATTGAAATAAATTTCATGTGGGTTTATTTACTTGTTTATTTTCTATTTATTTTGCCTCCATACTTTTTTTTATTTAAATTTGCTTATTTTCTTTATTTATTCGCACGTATTTCCTTTATCTCCCCGGTCACGCATGACCGGACATCGATAGCTCATAACAAATCATTTTTTTAATTACTTTTTTTATTTTTATCGTAAAATCTAAAGCTTTATCCTAAGGCTACAGATACATAGAACAGAAATCGGCGTGACACGGCAAAATGACGCCCAATCAGAGCAAAGCTTTGTGTACCCTGGTATTGTATGAGAACGAGACCTCTTACTCGCTCTAACGCATTCAAACGGAGTGACGTGACAACTTTCTGCTGCATGTGAATGATGTGAACAGGGCATACAGTTTTTGACGTTGCACGAGCACAAGGCGGCTGCTTCATGAATTCGATACCCAGCAAGAACCATCAGAACAATTTTGAATTACCCCCAACCCTGGAATCGAACCTATATGAACCCTTGAGCCATGATGTTTCAGTGGCTAGCACGCTAACCAACTGAGCCAACGACGAGCTCGTCATTATCATTCATCGTGCTCACTTCAACTTGCTGTCCGTTTCCCTGTAAATCTTGTATCCCTATGGGTGTGAACGATTTGATGTGACAATTCATGAATGAAGAGAATTTATTTAATTTAGAAACTAAATACTTCGGTTTTAAACTTCTTATGGTTTATGAAGTTATTCAAAGAAGTTTTATTAAAAAAAAATATATAGCAATGGACGACTTATATAAATACTGAAACTTTAATTAATAATAATATTTTACGCTATAATACTCTAGTTTTTTATTTACTTAGGATATTTACAGCAAAAGTAGATAAAAAAAGT